TTACTGTTAATAAAAACTGATTTCTAAATTTTTTACGGACAAATAATAACAAATCCTAAGTTTTGAGAAACATGATTAGTGGTCATTTTTCAATAGTTAGTTAAAAAATTATAAGGATTTAAAGTTTTGCGTAATCTTAACTTCGCTATAATTTCATAAAACTGCATATAACCAAAGAATAATTGGGCGCATTACTATTACATCATTTTTTGCATCAAGTTGTATTATTTTATACGTAATAAATATACATAACCTAATAAAAGTAAAGTTTTTATAATTTAAAATTAAATAATTAAATTTCAAATTTTAATTAATAAAATATACTTGTTCACTAAAACATATTTCAAATTTATAAATTTAAAAAACAACAATTACGTATAAATTAAAAAAGTGCCTTTTACTTTTATAAAATATGGTAAAGTTAAGCTTGAAAACAGAATTTCGGTTTTTACAAAAAATTGTAAAATGAATGAAATTAAATACATTAAAAACAAACCAAAAAAAATTAGGTTTCTTACTATTTCGGTAGACATTTATTGTTATGATATTTTCAAATGTCGTTTATATATTTTTGATTTCTCTGTTGTTACATGCACCAACTACTGGAATTGACACGCACAAAATGATTCGAAAGCTATATACATTTCTTTTAAATCGTTAACTATCAAATGCTATAACACCATATAACACCCCAACCCCTCCCGCATTATAAGGCTGACAAAATCAAAATTGAGTTATAACGAATCTGTACATTGAATAGTCCTTGGTTCTATTTTACTGAAGTACATAGATAAATGTGTATAAAGAGAATAATCATTCACAAAGTTCCCATTATTATAGTTACAAAAAATATCTAAAAGGCTTCTCGTATAAAAAGAGCTTCGTATTTAAACTTTTAAATTGTTACTTTTTATTAATTTTAAATAGTTGTGATGTTTTAATTTTTAAAATCATCAATTTATAAATTTACTCTTATAATATATGAGTTTTAACATTTATATACAATCTTTTGCTGCGTTATATATTAAAAAAATGTACCCATTCAATCGAAAAATGCTTTCGTTTCTCATTTTGTCAAATAACACTCATAGTAGTTTGTTCACCTTGACAAATCTTTCCCCATTAAATACTGGAATATTCACATACCACGCAATCAGCAGTGTTCAAATTGACGAAGGACTTCACAATATACCCAGAGAAACTGATGTGCACTAACCGTAGCAATCACAACAACGGCGACGACAACAACAAAAACTGCAACGACAACCATTTACACATAACTGACACCTTGAACACACGATTTTGTTGCCTTGATTTACCTTGTCTTTGTACAACTTTTACAGATTTTTTTGTTGTATATTGTAAAACAAAAAATATATCTCCTTTGTTGTTTTTGTTCTTTGTATCTTATTGTTATTTATAAAAACCCAGCAAAAACGACACATTTACATCCAAATATGCATCTGCTTTCCTCTCTTACTCACCTTTTTTAATTATATTTTATAGTAACGACATTTCTCACATCCTTGAGCAGATCCTTACTTTGTAAGATAGATTTATCCCCGCAGTTGTCTCTGGCTAGTTGTATACTATAGACCAAAAATTTTTAATTGTAATAGTGTTAATGATAGTAACTATCAGATATTCTCAAAAAAAAGATAAAATGTTTAAAACAGATTTGCACATTTAGTCATTTGTACATATAGTGCGTTTTATTATTATCATTATAATATACATGATTAATGTGTATTAAACATTTTTCTTTCTTCGAAGATTTTTTATAATTAAAAAAAATTTAAACATTCACTTAATATTAAATTCGTAAATTATCAAACTGGAAAACTCATTGCTTTCAAAATTATTGAATATAATGTCGGAGTTTTCGAATACTGATCTTAAATTGATTCAAATTGAGTTTGATCGGAGCATAATGGATTTACTTTACGATCCAGTGTAAGTCTATTTGTGAAAGTGTATTTAATTATATATTTACAAGAATAAATGTGTGTACCTTCTTCTGAGTTTGTTAAGTTCTGGTGCAATATAGAAAAAAACTACGTGCTTGTTAATTTAATAATTCGTGATTTAAATTTAAAAAGAAATTGTTTTCATATACAATAAGTAAAATTAAAAGTTTACATATTGTTTTGTTTAGATAAAAAAATAAATAAATAAATAAACAAATGTTAGAAAACAACACAAAAAAACGGGTAGATAAAGAACTTTAGTTCTGAATTGAAAACAAGCACTAAAGTCATCTTTTATATGACAAAGCTCTTATATCCTGACCTATATGTATTAAGCTAAAATTCAATTTATGTATCTATTATTGATGGATATGAGTTCATTTTCAGTAATTGTCTTGCATAGGTTCTACATGATAAAGTCATCAAGATTTATCTTTTGTAAATATAATATAAAAATATATTTATGTTATTCTCGATGTCTCTTTCTAAATGTTTGTTTCATATATCTTGAGAAATTTAATATATTATAGTAACTAGCTGTAAAATGCACTGCTTTGGCTCAGGAAAAGAGAAAGCATACACTTCTAATAATATGTTTTATGTGATACTTGTCGGTATACAATATTTTCTGAGACGACGACAACTCTAGAATATGCAACATATATTTGTTCATGTAAAATATTTCGTCCTTCGATGCTAAGACTGTTCAGTTTTAGAGTTCTGTTCTGAGCTTTGTCGATGGTGATCGGTTCGAGAATTGCAATATTCAAAATACATCCATCCAAATGCGTTTTATATTTCTGACATAAATTCTGTTGAAGGTGAAGAAGAGTTTAAACAATTTCTGAATTTGATTTTAATAAATATGTAAAATAAAAACAAAGCAAAGCAGATAGATAAAGCAATATATGTGTTTAGGAAATTAAGGCTAAAGTAAACGACACAGCTGAGTTCAAAAAGAATGTCTCACAAAATCCAGAATTAAATATATTAAAAAAGGACTTTAAACTTTATGAAAACTGAATTTTACGATCGAAACCTTGAAAAATCTCTGTTTTTCTAAAAATGTCTTTTCTTGTCGAAGGTGTAATATCTATATAATATAAGTTTGAATTCGAATTCTAAAAGCAATCAGTAAAGAAGTTTCAGAGATATGCAGTTTTGAATAAACGAACATTAACATATTTGTTTATATAGACACATAGATCATGCAGATTCCTGTCATTTCATCTCACATTTTCTGTAAACGCGTTTTATATAGAAGAGATATTCTATATAATTAGGACCAAATATATGAAAAAGCGAAACATGAAAGTTTATAATCTTTATGAAAGTTATTTAATCGCACAAAGACCGTACCTAATTATAACACAAAATATAACCTAATTGTCCTCGATATAGATTATACTAAAAAGGATTAAACTACGAAATACGATTAAAAATTTAACAAATGCTTATGGGAAATATGTAAGATCATATTTTTGACATACCTACAAATGGAACTACCTGAAACGTGCTCATATGTCAATGTTTAGTTAAGGAATAGCTGTTATGATGACCTGTGTTTGTAAATTTTTATTGAATGCATATCTTGATCCATCTTATAGATTGTTGATTTAGTCTAGTTTCTTTTTGAATTTATGCATTATGTGTTTTAAAATAAGATTTTTCTTAAACTCTAGGAAAGTAATTTTTATTTTAAAGTAATTGAATGAAACATTTTACGGGGGGTATATATATATAACATCAAAGAGAAAAACAAAATTTTTGCAAATAAATGATAATGTTAAGGATATTAAAATTTTCCCAATTCCAACGATTTGTTTCTTGTTTTTTTTGTTTATATACAATATTTTTACAATTAATACAATACAAAAATCAATAAATAATTTTAATTATTTTTGTGCAGATTGCCGGTAAACGAATGTCAGGCGAGCCAAACTGCTAGAGTAACGTCTAACCTGAACGCATCCAGCAGCACAATGGCGGTTAGTCGCGTACCATCACCGCCTTTACCAGAAGTTAACACACCAGTTGCTGAAAACTGGTGTTACACACAAGTAAGTCTAAACTAATTTTTATTTGTTGAAAAATGTTTTTTAAAAATGAGAATATTATTTTAATATAATATTCTCATTTTTAAAAATATTTAAATTTTTTAAAAAATTTCTTTTAAATATGATTTTGTAAACGCATTGTTGAATGTGTGTCATTGGTACTGACCGCAAAACTCCACACAGTAACATAATTATAGTAATAGTAATACCTAGTATTACTGTTTCTAAAAAACGTTCACATTGAAATTTTAAAACCAATTTCCTGTTACATATTGAATTACATTCTTATTACTTTCCTTGTATATCTTATTGTCTTCCTTACTTTCTTATGTTCTATTGTAAGAAAAAATATTATATATATACCTATACATACTTATTTACTATGCAAAAATAATTTCCGAAAATCATTTTTTTTATCCATGGTACTTCCATTTACTCAATTTACCTTTATTTTTTCCTGTTAAGGAATTGCTCATTTATTTTTCATTTATTTATGTATAAAGAATATGTTACACCTGCTTGTGTTTTTATTTAATGTTTTTGTATTTTTGGGATATGTGAACAAAAGATATTCCTGAAGTATCACAAACATTTCAATTATTAATAAAAATAATTTTTTTTATTTTCTTAGGTGAAAGTTGTAAAATTTAGTTACATGTGGACAATAAATAACTTTAGTTTTTGTCGCGAAGAAATGGGTGAGGTACTAAAGTCATCTACTTTTTCTGCCGGTGCTAATGACAAGTTAAAATGGTAAGTTAAAGAAAAATATCCTTTCATATATTTGTATTTTACAACATATTTTTAATATTTTAAGGTGTTTACGTGTAAATCCGAAAGGTTTGGATGAAGAAAGCAAGGATTACCTATCTTTATATTTATTATTAGTATCTTGTAACAAATCAGAAGTTAGAGCCAAATTTAAATTCTCGATATTAAATGCTAAGAGAGAGGAAACGAAAGCTATGGAATCGCAGAGGTAAAAATTAATAATTAATAAAATTTTATATTCATAATTATTCACATAAAAATTTAGATTAGTATTTCTGATTCATACAGTATTCGTCTAATATAACAAATACCCAATTTAAAAAATGTCCAATTTAACAAAAGTGTTAAAATTATATCATTGAATATTCCAATATAACGAATGTATAATTCATTACATAAAGTAGTCATAGGTTTAACGAATACTGTAGGAAAAAACTAATATAAAATCTAAACTATCGTTGAAATACAAACCCCACATAAATGCTGTGGACCAGACAAAGTTTCTGCATAATGGACTAATGTATATAGTATACATTAAATCAAACTCATGAGTTTACCAGACTTACAATAAGAAACTTACAAAAAATAAATACAAAACATCAGAACATTAGAAGAAACAAACGAATTAAAGTTTCAAGGAAACCTTTCGTTAAATTGGACGACTACTGTATATCAAATTTAAATAAAGACCTAATAGCAACTTTCTATTATATTTTCGACATAAAACAAATACACATATGACAAATATTATAAGAAGAGATATAATATTAAATGATATTTAGTTGGTTGCGTTTCCTCATATCTAAACTTTCTCGATCTTTAAGTACTTTTATTGTAGGTCAAATTTTTTATATATTGTTTATGGTATTTATCATTCCATACATATCCTGAAAGGCGATACTTGACACACAACATATTGTTATTGTCCTTTAAGATTTTAAATAAATTTATATAATTTTTTGCAAAATAATAAATTGACTATTTATTAATTATCAATAATTAATTATACATATCCTGAAAACGATTAGATTCAGTTTTTACTGATTAATGTAACTATTAAATATAATTTTTCTCTTATAACCGCGCGATCAATCAATCAATCCAGTACGTTCCCAGGGGAACATTAGGCCATGTGGTTACAGTGGTACCTATCGCATTGATTCTGTTTGAACGTGAGTTTCGCACCTTCAAATCCGTTTGCGTGCTGTCGAAGAGAGATAACCATTCCTTTTACTAAGAAATTGAATTAAATTTCGGCTCTAGCATCAGTTTTTCGATCCTTTCCGGTATTTATCACTTTTAACATATACTATAACGCCTTTCTTGTATTTAGAAGTTTTAACATATACTATAAAGCTAACACAGTTGTTGCATTGAGAAATAGTAATAATTCTTAGGGACTCAGTACTTCAGTCGTGTGCGCATAATGTGGAATTTTAAGGCGAGATGCGATTTAATTTATTTAGAAGGCAAATACAATAGAAACTGTACACTGTGCAACCTCAAAGAACGTGAAAGCATACATCACTTCTTTGACCGTTGTCCTAAAGAGAATCTTTAATGGAAGAGGATGTAATCAGTGTGTTTAATGGGGAAAATGATCCTGATTGGAAAAGATTGATTAACTATACTAATAGTGCTTTGAAATACTGAAAACTAATTATAACGAATTTGATACCTTTTAATTAAAATTTGAAAAATAAGCTTTTAATTCGAATTCTTTATGTTTTCATTTTTAAATTGTGAATAATTTTAAGCTAGAAGGCAAATTTATATAAATCCAACACCTCCGACAGACGACTATCAAATTAGTGTCGTATTCTTTTTTTTTCAATATATTTTTAAATAACTCTAACCAATGTTTTTAAACTTAAGGCATAATACTTATGTTAAAAGAAATTTTGAAATTGAATAATAAAGAAGTATCTATCTCTATCTATCTATCTAGTAATAATTCTGAAGCGGACGCTATTCCACGCTATGTGGAAAATACTCCTATAACGTAGGAGTTTGGCTAAACATTTAATACTTATAACCATAATACTTTTATAATAGCAACTCCAATTAATCTATCTGTGTGTTTGTGTATTAAGTAATATTATTATAAAAATACATATTTTTATTAGTTTAGGCAATTGTCATTTAAAAATATTTTTTTTTTTATATTTAAGGGCATACCGGTTTGTGCAAGGCAAAGATTGGGGCTTTAAAAAATTCATTCGGCGAGATTTTCTTTTAGATGAAGCAAATGGCCTATTACCGGAAGATAAACTAACAATATTTTGCGAAGTTAGCGTTGTAGCTGATAGTGTGAATATATCTGGCCAATCTAATATTGTTCAATTTAAAGTGCCCGAATGTAAATTATCCGAAGACTTAGGCAATCTTTTTGATAATGAAAAATTTAGTGATGTTACGTTAGCTGTTGGCGGTCGCGAATTTCAAGCACATAAAGCAATATTAGCAGGTTAGTGATAATTGTAATCAAAAAGTTTATTTATTATAATAATAATAATTGTAAAAAAATATTTTTAGCTCGTAGCGAAGTATTTGCTGCCATGTTCGAACATGAAATGGAAGAAAGAAAATTGAATCGTGTCGCCATAACAGATGTTGAGCATGAAGTTTTAAAGGAAATGTTACGTTTTATATATACTGGCAAGGCGCCAAATTTAGATAAAATGGCTGATGATCTCTTAGCAGCTGCTGACAAGGTAGGTTAAGAGTTTTAATACTTGAATATATATGCGCGATATAAGTTTATAAAATAATTGTTTTATTTTTTAAAGTACGCACTTGAAAAACTGAAAGTGATGTGCGAAGAGGCGCTGTGCGTTAATTTATCCGTTGAAACAGCTGCTGACACACTAATATTAGCCGATCTCCATAGTGCGGATCAACTGAAAGCACAAACTATAGATTTCATAAATACGTAAGTTAAAATAACAAAAATATCAATATGGAAAGTCAACAGCAACTATATACCATAAATATATACATAAAGGCACAATAATTATTATTACTTTGCATATTAACTAATGTGAATATTACTAAAAACTAATACACATCTGTCTCAGGTCAAACCGCCAATCCACCAATTAACATCTATCCACTTCCAAATATTGGTAGATTATGTGCTCTTAATCAAGATTCAATAAGGAATTATTATTACACAAAATTTAAAGTTTTGTTATTAGTTTGAACTACACAATATCAATGGCAATTTTTATTTGAGTTAATTTAAGTAGAAGCTAAAAATTATGTATTCAAAGACGTATAGTTTTAATCGATGTAATATAATAATAATTTATTTGTATAAATATTTGAGTTCTCATTCAATTTGTCCAGCATCTGCAATGACTATACTTTGCCAAACACACAATTTTACGTGGCATATATAAAAATATTTGCATTCGAACGTAAAAATTTTGCCACAGTCTAACCAGTGTAGATGTTGCGTTACTGTTGAATTATTGAATTTAGCTTAATCAAAATGTTTAAAAAAGTATATATAGAAGTATTTAATAAGTATTTATTAATTCTTTTATAATTTTGTAAATTAATATTATACATATATACTAGAAATTCATTTAAATCAACTAAAATAAAAAGACTATTAATTCATTTGGCAAGCGTATCAATTACTTGGGACTTAATTATATATTAATAAAGCAAATATCTTTCCTTTTAATATTTATTAATTATTAATATAAAATGAATAACTATTAGATAGGTATACTGTTTGTATATGTAGGTTAATTCTTTTTAACCTGAACATTTAGTGACGCTTATTTAATTATAATAGAAAAACACATATAAAAACGACATATCCTAAATCAAAAAAAATAAATATAATAAACCGAGAATATCGGAGTAGAGATATTGTAGAGTAAATGATATTGACAAAAATGGGGTAATTGTGTGTAGCAAGAGTTAAAAAATAAATCATTGAAAATGTGATCGCGATTGCTACAACGTTGGGACGATACCCAGGTTGCAGTTAGAATTTTTAAGAAATATGATCCAGTCTCCATATGTATACCCAATTATATTATAAGTATTTTTAAGTGTTCATATTTATTGTTTTGAAATGAAAATAAAAATTTTCTTTAGGTTATAGGAGACGGTTATAGTCGATACAAATATTAAAAGTGATATAAAATAAACGACAAGCTCATTTTATGTTATGATGTTGCCTATGAACAGCAATTGACTTGTGTAAATATCATTGTAAATATATTGTATTTTAGCTATAAAGTTATGTTTAAGTAAAACTTCCATGATTAAGAACTTAAACATGAGTTTTTTAGATTTAAAACGGAAGTTTAAGCTAATCGTAATATTAAAAAAATCTATTTAAAAAAAAACATGAATATAATAGTTAAAGTATATTTATATTGTTTAAACTATGAAAAAATGAAGTTAAGGTTATTTTTATTGGCATACCATTTAAATATGATTTGAAATCAAATGATTATTATTAAATTTTACATTTCATATTTTTAGTCACGCCACTGATGTGATGGAAACCGCCGGCTGGCAAAATATGATAACAACACATTCGCACTTAATTGCGGAGGCGTTTCGAGCGCTCGCAACGCAACAAATCCCACCAATTGGACCACCAAGAAAACGTGTTAAATTGAGCTGAAACATTAGCAACATTAATATGCATAATTATTTTAATATTTATAATTGTAATAATAACTATCACCACAAAAAATGTAATAACAAGTTTAGTAACAAGAAACTGTACTTCTCAAAATTTTGCAAAATAATTAAAAGAAGATTTTTTATAAATTTATTAAACAATAAGAATTTTAAAAGCCGCAACAAACCCAACTTTCAAATGAATGGAAATGACCGAACAACTTTGTTGATAAATTTATTACGTACCCCAATTGTGACAAATGTAGCAACAATAATTATAAACATTTAATAACAGTACTGTAATTAACATATTTATAGAACGCCAATTAATATCGAGAGCAACACAACAATAACAATTTTTATGACAAAGAGAAGAGAGAGGGTACACACATCAAATGAAAATAATTCAGTTAATATTATATTCTATCCTAAATCAGTTATGTATTATAACGTATGTATTTCTAATAATGTTAGGAGATGACAATGCGAAACAATTATTATTTTTAGAATTACTGACTTCTTTGTTTTATATTTACTAATATTATTCTTTATAGTAAACCCCGTGATCTTAAAGTAAAGCATATTACCAATGTTAAATTTTAACTCATAATTAATTTAAAAGTGCAGACTCTTTGTTATTGTTTTTGTTGTTTTAAGCCATATTATAAAATATAAGTTCAATGCAATTAAATTCATAATAAAGTATTTAAAATAACATTTTATTTTCATTTGTGTTACAAGTACGTTTGCTTAAATGCCTGTTTACTCTTATTATTATTATTTTTATTTTTATTTTTTAAACAAATTTATATATCAGCAAAAAGTTTGTAGCAAATAAAAATAAAATGGTTAAAAATTTATATTCTATATTTTTGATGCAAAAAAAAGTATATATTAATAACTTCTGTCAACATAGTTAAAGTAGAAAATTTAATTTTTAAATATCTCTAACCTATTCATTTTGAGTGTAAATTTTTTTCACTTAATATAAGTAAACATCAAGTAAAAGTTGTAAAAAAATAGTTGAACTAAAACAAACCACAAACTTAAGAAATCAAAAAACATATGCACATATATTATATATACATATATATATGTGTGTTACTAAGAAAAATATAACGTAAAATTTAAATTAAGAAAATTTTTTTTGTAAGCTAACGCGTGTTATTTTTTGTATGTTAATAAGTTTTAATTTTTGTGTAAATCAACTATTATTTTTTAATTTGCGTATTATTTAAGTTTTGAATGTAAATCTAAAGATTTTCTATATATTTTAAATATTATGAAAAAAAATTAAAATACATGTAATCAATTTTAAAATGAACTATTTATTAAGCTTTGGATGTACAAATACTGAATTAAAGAAAAAAATCAAATAATTATTAAGCGAAAATTGAAAAATAATAAATTATTATTTTCAAATATTAAATTATTTTTCAAGTTTGAAGAACAATATTTTTGTTAATTTTTGCAGAATTAATTTTTTGAACACTTTCCCTAAACTTTTAAAAATTATTTATAATTATAGAGACAAAAGAGAACGTGATAATAACAATAAATAAAACAATTTGTAGAGAACTTTAAAAATCAATAAATTTAAATAAAAAATCAAACAGTTTTGTTTTTAATTAAAGTTCATTTTGTACTCTAAGTTGCTAACCATTTTCAACAATTTTTAACATTTTAGGAACAACTAGAAATGTAAGCCAACTGCTTAATAATTAATAATGCCGGAAATGATGGTAGTGATAATGATGATAATAATGAATTTTAAAACTCTTCCAGTGCTCTTATCTGTAATAAGGGTTTAAAATATTATAAGATAAATTAAAAATCTTATTGAATAACAACAGATAATATAGTTTTAAATCATTGTTTTATCATGCTATGATTACAGATTATTAGATTAGGTTAATCTGACTAGCTGTAATCGTTTCAAAGATCTATTGGTTTCTAGTGGCTGTTTTATGTAGATTTTAGTAGAAGGCTTTTTGCTGAAATCAGTTTAGCGACCATTAAAAATTTTTATAAATATGTTTTAGAGCCAGATCTTACTGAAATTTAAGCCCAAACCGTCGTACCGAAGCTCTACCGTTCTCTATCCCACACGAGAAATATGTGAAATATATAAAACAAAAATGTTTTTTAAAACGCAGTTTACTTATTTCACAAAATCTTTAGTAGAAATTTTACTGAAGTCATTTATTTGGTATATCATAAAAATAAAATAATGTAGTTTTACCAGTACACCAATATAAAATTAATTGTAGTTATTGTAGTATGTGGCCCACGGGCCGTACATTGAACAGCCCCTGAATTAAACTAATGAATAACAATTTTTAATACTTAAATAAAAACTGCTTCAACGTAACTTCTAACATAGGTTTTTATATACATATTTTGTTAGAAAATACTCGATGCTTTCTGATCATTTTGATCATTTTAATAGCAGCTTAATTTATTACATAAAATCAGGGATCGAAAATAAGTTATTTCAAAAAAATTTCAAAAAAAACGCAGCAACAAAAGCAGTTGTCTAAACTCATATTTAAGTATATTGATATCATTCTAACAACTTTCTCCTTAATATTATGCATGCTTTTTATATATGTGAGCGTTTTAAAATAGAACTCAAAAAATACTAAATTATATTTTGCTTTCAAAAAAAAAAGTTATTTTTGACTATTCTTGAAAAAATAAAAAGCACATGATAATAATTATTTTTGATTAATATAATATAAAGAAAATTTAATTATTACTTTTTGAGTTTTATTTTAAAATCTGAATTTTAATGATAACTGTTACGGTCCCTGTATAAAGTATGTAATTATATTTATATTCTCATCTAATTGGAATTGAGCTTTATGGGCTTCATGCGTATATAACAAATATATCCGTATTTTTATTTATTTTTTAAAATCATTAAACAGGTACAATGCTGTCAATTTATACAGATCTGTGAATGTAGGGACAAATGAGTAATTGAGAGTATTTGTTAATTAAGTGTAGCAACGCACTTTATTACTTAATTTAAAAATGTTCTTGTTTCATTAAGGATTAATTTAGAAATAAATTTAGTTATTTTCTTCGACAGTCTTTAATGCACTTATAATACTTTTTTTTATTTAAATGCAATATTGAGAATTATAAGTTTGAAGATAAGCATCATTAAACCAAAATTTGATGCTGAGCTATTCGAAAGATTACATCGTTTGACATCAGTTAAAAAAATAGAATTTGATGATGTTTGTAAATTTGTAGTAATTAAAATATGTAATAAAATTGCAAAAGATTTGATTTGTACCATAATTATGGGTGTTGAGTGTTGCAATCTACGCGAAACTAAAACTAATATTTTCTGTAATTCATATATTTTTTTAAACATGATTTGTAGGAGCACATTAATTTTTGATTACCTTTGAAATTAATACATGGAAAAATTTGCATAATTATTTCTTTTCATGTTCATCTGAAAATTGTTGCAGTAATGTTGACTCTATTGGTATGTTTAATAGTTCTGCACCATCTACACTGCGCTTGGTTTTAATAAGTTTATGATCTAAGAATTCAGTAAGTTGGGCACGTAACGCTAAATCAGAACTCACTAAAAATGCTTCACGGCAACTCCAGTATAAATCCTTAAAGGCGATACCTAAAGATAAAAATGTTTTATTTGACAGAGGGCTTTATTATAAAGTTTTAAAGATTTTATAGCCTACCTTGGTGGTTTGGATTGTTTTTGTTATGTAGTTGGTGCTTCACAATTAGCATATAAATGCCACGAGAGTTAGTTGTG